TGCGATTGTCTGAGTAGTTTCTGCTCTGCTCTGCGATTCCTGGGTAGGATATGGCCCTGCTCTGTGATTGGCTGAGTAGGTTCTGCTCTGCTCTGCGATTGGCTGAGTAGGTTCCCACCAGTTCGACACGGGTAAAAGCCCTACCCTCAGTTTGTGCTCCTTCCTGTTGACGATGACGGCTGTGATTTGCTGGTCCATGAAGATCAAGATGGTGACCAGGAGAGCGGGAAGCGCACTGGCCAGGTAGATCCACCACGGATTCTTCCCAAACGGGAACACGAGCCAACCTCGGTCCAAGCGAGTGGGCTAAAAACAAAGAGCGAGGCGATGGTTATCACAGGCTGCATCCGAGTCAGGAAGATCTGGACAGGTTTGTATGAAACCTGGGAAGAGTATGGAAAAACCTTATGTGACAGAGGAATCTCATTGCATTCCCTCTAAACTTGTACCCACCCTCAGAGGGTAATGTGACTGGACACTGTGTCTGCTCCATCACAGACAGACCCTGTATCTAAACCCATCTCTAGTGTTTGGTTCAGATCAGGCCCCCAATCCGGGAAATTGTTACTTGTGGGGGTGAACCAGAAAAATCTCACAGCAGGAGCTTATCTCCTGGAATTTTTATCATTCAGACGGGAAAATCTTGCGAGATGGAGACTAGAATCTCACACGAGCTGGAAGGACGTTGGGGCCACTCAGCCAAGGCCCGGAAACGCTAACCTGGGTAGGACTTGTAATCAAATTCCAACAGCTTTCCTTCCAGAGGCTGCCCACACCAGCCGTGTAAGAACTCAGCAAGGTGCCGGGGGCGTCTGCTCCACACAGTGGCTGCCTGGATCCTTAGTTGCCAGGGGCAGTGTTTTTGGAATAAAGCCTGACGCCGCCTTAGCTGAACCTGACTCTATCATGAGTGTAAAATTGTTCCAGGACAATCGGATCCTAATCCACATTGGTAACTGACCCCCCCAGCCATTGGAAACCCATTCTAGCCCTCCATCTGCGTGGTGCACCGGCTAGCAGCTATTTACATCACTTCCCCCACGGGGATGGAGTTAGAATTGCTCCAGTGTGGGTCCACTATAGGCTCTGCGCCTCTGACGTTCAAAGGACCCTTCTCTAGCTCTTGTGCCCGGGCCTTGTGCTTTGGCGGCTGGAGGTGCGGCAGGCGCTCTGTCCTGCTTCCTGCGTGGTTTTCTGAACAGCCGCAGAGCCTAGCAGACAGACATGGTCTTACTGCTTCTCATGTTCCCCGCCCATCAGTTTACTGAGCACTACCAAGTTTTGCCAGCTTAGGAGTGTGGTTAGGGGTGTGCCACAGCCACGCTCACACAACGCCCAGTAGAACTAACGCAACGGTTTTCACACGATGGGGTGCGACCCAGTGCTGGGTGGTGGAATGTCGGGCATGGGGTGACCAGTGAGGGTGCTAAGGCAGCTCCCTGCCTGTCCTGGCACCACAGACTGCGCTGCGCCCCAGAAGTGCCCGGCAGCAGGCCCAGCTCCTGGGTGTGGACAATGCACAAGGCTCTGCACACTGCCCCTGCTCCAAACATTAGCTCTGCACGCCCATTAGGGCTGGAAGAGGCCTCAGGAGTCATCCCGTCCAGCCTCTTCCCCAAAGCAGGGCTGACCCCAACTCAATCATCCCAGCCAGGGCTTGGTCAAGCCAGGCCTTAAAATCTGTAGGGATGGAGATTCCACCCCCTCCCTAGGGAACCTATCAACTGGGAACTTGCTGCTGGCTGCTTCTGGGGCGCAGCAGGGTCTGCGGTGCCAGGAGAGGCAGGAAGCTGCCTTAGCCCCCCCGCTGCACTGCTGACCAGGAGTTGCTCAAGATAAGTCCCTCCTGCCCCAGCCCTGAGGCCCCCAAAACCGGGCCCTCCTTCTCCATTCCAAAGCTCTTATCCCCCGCCTGGAGCCCACGCGCTAGTCAAATGATGCTGGGTTGCAGCATCAACAATTTTCTTCCACTGGGTCATGAGAAAACGGTTGAAAACCACTGCTCTAACGGCAAGAGCCCTTTGATTGGAATACACTGCACCTCCACTAGGGAGCTCTACTCTGGGTCATGTAGACCGGCCCTGAGTCAGAGGTCATGTCTAGAGCCCTGCCAACCCACGGAGATGCGGTTGATAGCTGCCGGTATCTGCACGCACGGACGCAGGTATCTGTGGCCCATTTTTGCAGGTCCAGATGCAGATCTGAATACACAATTTTGTATCTGTGCAGAGCTCTAGTCATGTCGACATGAGGCGCACTTTCCTGGTTACGAATACTGGTATGCTACATGGGCAGAGTGCTCCTGCGTGGACATTGCTTATGTCAGCAAAGCTGTGTTCTGGACTGGCACCGTAAAATTACCTTGCATGGGTGGACCAAGGAGTTTTGTTGGCATAGCGGCATCTACATTTGCTGGCACTGCTCTGAGTCAGGGATCACACCTCTTCACACCCCTGCCAATGTTCCAATTTTTTCGCACCCAAATGTGCAGAATAAATTTTATTATATGCCCCAGGGCATGTGTGCATGTGCACCACCAGTAGAAACACATGCTGTTGGCCGTGAGTGCTTTGCTAATCAGCTGGGGGCATTTGAATTTCTCCTGGGAGGCTGCCCAAGTGCTCAGCTTACAGGGAACACTTGCTCTTGTCCACCAGAAGACTGTAGTGTAGACAGAGCTTTGTACTTAGGCCTGGTCTACACTTACAAATGAGGATGACATGGCTATACCCATCAGGGTGTGAAAAAACACACCCTTTAGCCCCTGGCTATGCTGGCAAATCCTCAGCATAGTCCTACCTATGTCGACAGCAGAAAGCTTCTGTCGGCCTCGCTACTGTCGTGGGGAGAGGATGTTCTGACACTGGTGGAAAAGTTCTTCCTTTGGCGTAAGCTGCATCTGCACTCAGGGGTTACAGAGGTCCAGCTATGTGTTGCAATAAACTCCAGGTGTACACACACCCTTAGATGTAGGTTGTTTGGGGCAGGGACGGTGTCTATTGTACAATGCACAATGTGGGAAGGCACGCTGAACCAGGACGGTTCCTTCTAGGAGTTACCATCATAAAACAATGAACAGTAATAGTAATAACTGTGACCTTCTAACAGCCACAGTTTTGTTACAGTCGGTGTATTCTCAGAGAGAGCTGAATACTATGGAAGGGACCCTTGTTCTTTTACCTTAAAGTCAGTAGGCACTTGCAGTTTAGGAGTATTCAGTCCAAACAAGATATCGAGACCAACAAACATTAGTATGGACATGAAGATAGAGAAGTCACTAATAAGTTTACGTAGCTACAGAGAGAAGGAGAGAGCACAAATCAACACACAGAAAAGGCCGAAAAGTGATGGAGTTTGAGCATTAATCAGAGAAAGAAAACAATGCATTTGAGACGCAGTGTTAGGAAATTCATTTCAACAGAGAAATTGAATGGATATTGACTAGATATCAACACCATCTTGCCTTAGCAGGAGTTGGAGTCATCTCCTAATGAATCATTAATATCTACCCAACGTACCCATATGGATTTTGTCACCTTGTGAGCAATCTTTAATGGGGATGCTATTGAAAGAGGGGGAACTGAGGCACAGAGAGACTAAGGGGCTTGCCCAAAGTCACATAAGTCTGTGGCAGAGCAGGGAATTGATCACAGGTATCCTAAGTCCATTGTGGCTCTCTAACCACTGAGCCATCCTTCCTATCCCCTGCTCCAATCAATGTTTATTACGTGCCAGGGCATAAACGTCTTTCTATGTGATGTTAGCACATTTATAACTGAGGCTAGACGTTCCATGTTCATAATGGGATGTCTGGAAGAGAAGGGGTGCCCAGGGAATGTTTTTGCCTATAATTTCACCACTGAAAAATCAGATCCGCCAATAAAACCTCTTGGAGACTGAATCCCTTTCATCTCGTTTCCCCCCAAATGGTGCGGGGACAGATAGAACGAATGCAGCGGTTGGAAGCACAGCCGCAAGGGGGAGACGGAGAGGAGCCGGCAGGGACAGAGGTTAGGAGAGGAAAGAACGTCAAACCTTAATTATACTGGGAACATGCAGCTTTGGCGTGTCCAGGCCAAACCAGGCGTCTAGTCCACAGAACAGCAGAATGGAGAAGACATTGGAAAAATCAGCAATGAAGGCCCTGACCTGGTGGCAGACGGGGTTGGGAGGGAAAAGCTGGTTAAATGGGGTGCTTTACAGATCTCCAAGCATGCAGTTCTGCTGAGATCAAAGGGTTCCTCCAAGGAGTTATCACGGCAACATTAGGAAACACACAGGCCTGATCTCCTTTGCAGACAGGCAGAGCTCTGCTTACTGCAAAGGAGTCACTTTTGTGTTGCATTGGTGTAAGTCAGAGCAACCACATCAGCACTGGCAGCTCTTGTGAGTTTATTGCTCATCACACACTATATGCTGGATTTATTAAACCCCATGCTCCTGGAAATGTCAGAGCAGGTTGTTCTTGGCTTGCACTCAGTGCAGTAGAAACATGTTTCTCTAGGTGTCAAACCAGAGATAATATAAACAGCCTTAATAAAAGCCTTTCCATGCCAACAATTGATGGGAACGTTCCTCTGTTTTTCTTGGAAGAATAAGATACCATATATCTTCATCCTTTTATTGCAGAATTCAGCTGCAATAGCACATCGAAGGCCCAGTCCTGGGCAATGCTGAGCTATATGTGGTGTTTGGTCACCTGAGTTGCATGGTGGTATTTCTGCTTTGGTTGGAGGAACCTTGACCTTACATTGAGCTTTCATGATGGCTTTGTAGAAAATGTGCAGGAGCACTGGCAGCAGTTGAGTTAGAGGGGCCATGAATACCATCAAGCAAATTCACTTTGTCTGAAGAGTGTTCTTAGGTTCTTTTTGCTTTCTCCCAGCTCTAGTGAGTGGTTGATATTTTAAATATAAACCAACCAAGGCTCTTGGGGACCACCCAGTGTGGTCTAACCACTAATTTATATGGGTCTGCTTTGTTACTGTGCTGATCTCTTGCTGGCTTCTGAAATATCATTACCTATCAGGAGCCTGAGTGTAGGTATATGCCCTGGCTTCAGAGAAGATTGGGGAAAGTGTGACCTAGAAATTTGTGCGCGTCTGGGCTGTCTGCTGCCCGCGTGCTCCGCCGCTTTGCTTCCTCTCCCTGGTCTGCTGGAGACCAGGGAGACGGCCCCGTTCGTAACTGCGTAACTCGGGGACCGCCTGTACATGAGACTCTCAACTTTCATTTCAATGTTGCTAGTCCTTCTGATTGTGGAAAAGCTTTGGAAAGGTGACCCAAGTACGGCTTGCAAACCAGAAGGCAAATTAAAACATTTTTTTTTTTGGTTGGTCATGTTTCCGCATTGGTTTGTTAAAACATCCAATCATCAACTGAAATCTGGAAGAGAGATTTAAATGGAAGCAGCTTCTACTTTTCTAGCAAGTTAATGCAACATTTGAAGAAAGTTCATTTATCAGATGTGGAAAAAATAATTCCAGAAACATGGATCAGCCTCTATTCCCAGCAATTCTGCATAGGGAAGAAATATCAGCCAGTGATAGCTTGAATTCAGCTACTTTTAAATGAACTGTATGCATTGAAAAAGTTCCAGAACCTTTCAGAGATATGTAGACTTCTCAGAAATGGGAACATGGGAAGTGAAAAATAAATTGGCATCTGAAATTTATCCTGAATTTTAAATGTTGTTAAAAACTTCCCATTATGAAAGCTATGACCAATATAAATGTTTCCAGAACTGAAAGAGAGGCACCCCAATGAAAGCAGCATGCTGTGTTTGTAGCCCCAACATGGCTAAATCTGAAAGTGAAATGGAGCATAAATAAAAGTGAAATGGCTTCATGGAATTCCATTGTCCAAAGTAGATTAAATGCAAAACTCGAGAACATCCACAGCAAGAAGCATGCAGAATATTTAAAAATCTTTCATTTTTAATGATCTAAAGGACAAAGCTGGAAAGGTTAGGCTCAGAATTTTGCTGCTGTAAAATGAAGTGTATGGAAGGAAAGGATTACAGGTAATCTTATGAAAATGTTTTCATGGATTTCTTTAAAATAAGATTAATCATCTTATACACATTTCATAGAACCATAGCATCCTAGGGACGGAAGAGACCTCAGGAGTCATCGCGTCCAATCCTTGCTCAAAGCAGGCCCAACTCCAACTCAATCATCCCAGCCAGGGCTTTGTCAAGCCAGGACCTAAAAACCTCTAAGGATGGAGATTCCATCCCCTCCCAAGGAAACCCATCCCAGTGCTTCACCACCTCCTAGGGAAATTGTTTTTCCTAATATCCAACTTAGACCTCCCCCACTGTAACTTGAGACCATTGCTCCTTGTTCTGCCACCTACCACCACTGAGAACGGCCTCTCGCCATCCTCTTTGGAACCCTCCATCAGGTAGTTGAAGGCTTCCTTTGAACAGATGTCTAATTACAAATCATGGGGCAAGGTAAGGAGATGTTTATAATAAAATACATAAACTAGAAATCTTGCACCCTTCTACTTTTTTTCCCCTCTCCCGCCCACCCTTCTCAGAACCACACATTTGTTTAATAAGACCTCAATCCTGCGATTGGATCTATGCAAGGGGACCTTTTGTGCCTATAGGGAAGCCTCCTGGTTTTGATGGGACAACACGCAGACTTGAGAGTCCGTCTATACCGATCTGAATGTGATATTGGAGGCCATGACCTATGTTTCAAGTTCCCCGTGTATCTCTGAAAAGGACTGGCCAACAGTTTATAGTGGAAACTGAAATACAGATGTGATTCGTGGTCTTCGTATTTGTTCTTACCTTTGTAGGAAAGTAGCGACTGAACTTGAATTTCTTCAGTGTTACAGTCATGGAATACGTCCCAAAGAAGAGGATGAAGGACATGAGGGCTAAGTCAGGAACAAATTTACAGGATTTCCCTACTAAGCTTCCGCCATACTTTAGACATTCCTTCTTACTCAGCTGGGTCCAGTCCAGAGCTGTTACATTAATAGCATTGTACTTGGAATCGAAGTGTTGAAGAGAACAAACCAAAATATTATTAATATATTGAGCAATTCTAGCACACAGGCAAATGCAATTAGTTGTACGGGCTCTGCTTAGGAGCAACACTTTAATCATGAGGAAGGTTAAAGTCTTCCATAAAACACAGCGCTTGGAATCACAGTCACCCTCAAGAACTTGTCTCAGAATAAACTATTTCAGTATTTGTAGTATTCATCGTATTTCCTACAGTACGTATAAGAACCACACGTAGAAATAACAATATCCCTTTGTCCAAAAGCCAAATTGCCAAGTTGTTAAGGGAGACCACTGTAGTGACATTAAACTTCAGCCACACTAAAACAGGTAAGATCCACATCTCTGAACAATAATGAAGCATTCAGTGCTTGTCTGGTGCCCAGGTATGAAAAGATTTTCGAAAAGTGCCCAGTGATTTTTTGGATCCCCAATTTCAAGCAGCTAAAAAGAGCCTGATTTTTGGAAAGTCTGCAACACCTGCCTGTGAAAGTCAGACCCTTTAAAGTGTCCTGAGATAGGCACCCACAAACTTCTCATTGCTTCTGAAAATCTTGGTCATTGTAGCTTAGCTGGTGTAAAATACAGGCTAATATCACAGGAACAACCCTTCCCCCCATGGTCTTGGATCCTCTACCTATTCTAACTTGTGTGTGTAGACAAGCCCTAATCTGGTTTATAAATTGGTGCAGCTTTCCTAAGGAGTTGTCTGCACTTGAAAGCTAACCTGGACTAATGTAGAGTGCGAACCTTAGTAGCTATTCCTGAATAACAGTGTAGACAAGACTCGTCCTGGTGCATTTCCCTCATGGCTGGGAACAGTTTAAACTCCAGCACACGGAGTTGCACTGGTTTAAGGTACAATTTTAAACTGAGTTAAACCACTGTAGAGGGGCTTTTTTCAGTTTAAACCAGGATCATTTCAATGTCAATTAAGTAACCAACAACAGCTTTACGTTCAACGGAAATAACCTGCTCTTATCTGGACATAAGCGTGTCCACCGGCTTAAATAAGCCAGTGCAAGTTTGTGCCTAAAGGGGCCCCAGAGTCCTGCTTTTTTAAGTGTTTGATTAATCTTGGCCTGACATTAAACTATCCCAGCATGCATTGCTGTGGGGTCTCTGGCTGCAGTCTGCTCTTTGGTGGTTTGCAATCTCCTAGTTGGGCCCGGGAAGGAGACCTTACCAGGCTATTACAACTGGAGCGAAGAGAGTCAGTTCCCATTGTGCTCCCCTGCCTCCAAGCCCTCCTGTGAATTCCACACCCAGATTAACTCATTTGGGCGGCAAGTCATAGAATGGAGCAGTCGATCTCTAAAGAGATCTCTGCAGGCTTTGGTAGCATCCCTGAAGCAGACCGAGGAACTGATTTAACTGGTGGCTCTCCATGTGTCCCACTTACTTTCTTCCTGGGCTAAGAAAGGTCCAGAGGGCTCAGCTACTCCCTACTTGAGCATACATACAACAAAAGTACTCACCACAGAAACGTTAGTGTTGTTTGGTGCCAGTGGAGCTGAAGCATTGAACAATGTTGTATTCACTGCAGAAAAGGGGTGGGTGATTAAGGTTGTACACACATTACAACAAATAGTCATGCTTCATCCAACATGGAAATCCTGATTACGCCTAGCAGACCCTGCTGGCTTGAACCAGTAACAGCCCTTCCATTCCCAGGAGAGAGCAAAACACGCCAGGTTCTGTTCCCCGCAAGGGATGTCTAGCGGCACACACGGTGGTGGGCCATTTAGAGGGCTCTGTCTACACAGGAGGGGAAAGAATGTAATGAAGTGCGGGATAAGCACATTGTTACACAGCTGTTAGGAGGGAAGGGACCCGGGAGGCAAACACCTTCCTGAACATGAAGGGCAAAACACAGAGCTTGGGAGTGGGACTGTAAACCCTGCTTCTAACTCCAACAGCGACTTCTCCCTGATTAATATGGCATGTGGCTTTCCATTTAAGCCAGAGAATGGCCCCTGAGGGTTGCATCAGCAGCTTGCCAGGAGCCCCAGAGATATAGCTCACAGTAAGAAAATGGAGCCGATTGTATCTTCATTCATTACTCAGGGATGGGCAGACCATGGGGACTACAGATCCCATGGTGCAACACTTCATATTAGGTCATGTGACCTCCGACTCCACTCCTATGCATCTTGGGAGTCAGTGGGCTTCCCCTCTACTTTTAGTGACCACATTTGGTCCACGGCCCGTTTTCCACGGCCACCTAGGCCCCTGTCAGGAGCATCACCTCTCGGCCTAAAGAAGAGAATGGCCTTATAAATACCTAGAACCCATTTTAGCTTTCTGGGTGGCTTCCAGGGAGATACGCCAATGGGGAGTCCTCCTGAATCATATCAAGCCATGGCCTCCCTCCACTCATTAGGAGACCTCTCCCAACTCCTGAACACCCCATCCATTGTTCATTGGGATTTCTGCCATTATAGCATACAGTGGTGCTTACCACCAATTCAGAGAAGACATGAGTCGTCTTCAAAACCTTCCCCCTTTTGGGTGGCCCTAGACTAGCTGCCAGCAACTGGCGCCCTAGGCGAACCAGGCAATCGGTGCCTCCACCTCCAAACCCCTCAGTGATACTGCGCCACCATTTGGTGCCCCATTTAACTTGGCGCCCTAGGTAACCGCCTAGTTCGCCTGTATGGACGGGCCGCCCCTGGGTACCGGGAGGGGGTCAGAGTTTGAAACCTAAAATGTCCATCTGAAAGAACTTCTATTCCGGGGGGAAGGGTTGGAGAGAACTCAATGTCTAACTTTTAGAGGGGGCCTTATTCTCATTCTTGAAGGGTCTCTCTTTCTGTAAAACTTGGTGACATTTGCAGTTATCCACCGAGGTAATCTCTACCCTCTCAGGAACGAGCTGGAAGTAAAGAAATCCTTCTCCCACCAGAAGCAGCACCTGCTCTCAACAGGTTACCTCTTGTCTAGGGTTAGTGAGGTCTCTTCTGTTGCCCTGCTGGATTCTCGCTGCAAGAAAGAGGCTCCCCTTTCTAACCTGGCTTAGCCTTTTTCAAGCAAAAAATGGATCAAGAGAGTCTAAAGCACTAAAGTGTCCACTCCCTTAGTGCTTTGGTATTATCCCCACCTTTGGACGGATGGGGAACACGAAGCGCAGAGAGATTAAACGACTTTCCTAAGGAGGCAGAATGAGTCAAAGGTAGGAATGGAACACAAGCTGTGAATTTCTGTTGTAACACCCACTGCCTGCGTGAAGAACTTACTGCAGCAGGATGAATTTACTGAAAAAAACAAAAAACCCTTTATGCACATTTCCATCCATTTTAAACCTAATTTTCCCCCTGCTGCCGATGAATTTCTTAAAGTTCTAAGATTTCTTTGGCCAGTGATGGATCCATCATGGGAGCAGCCATCTTCAAGGGCCGTCCAGTTAACAATTCTTCATATATATTAAAGCTTGTTATAAACAGAGTGGATCAATTTGTTTTCCATAACCATGAGTCAGAGGCTTAATCTGCAGCAAGGGAGATTTAGGTTAGATATTAAGAAAAACTGCCTATAAGGAGAGATAGGCCTGGAATAGGCTTCCAAGCATGGGCAGTGGGTGAAGGCAGGGCTGGGGGAGGCAAGCCCCCACCCCCAGCTCCACCCCTTTTGCCCGTGCCCCAGCCCCCAGCATCATGGGGAGGGTGGGCAGTATGCAAACCCAGTCTCGGCACACGGGGAGGAAGGAGGGTGTGCGGCCGCAGCCTCCCCGGCCCCGGACGCGTTCTGGGGGCAGACTGTGGGCGGGGCCAGGCAATGCCTTCCCCTGCCTCGCATACTCACCGCCCATGCTTCCCAGGGAGGCTGTGAAATCCCCATCAATGGAGGTTTTTAAGAACAGGTTAGACCTGCCAGAGATGATCTAGGACAAGGGTGGGCAAAAGGGCCTCCGGATCTAGCCTGCCAAGTGGGTTGGTCCGGTCCGCGGAGCTCCTGCTGCTGCTCTGCCCGGGATCGGGGCGCGTGCGGCGCTTAGAGTCAACCTTGGTGGTCTGCACTAAGTGCCATGCGCTGGAGCACAGGGAGCAAGAGACTTCACACTCCCCCGTCCCCAGGCCAGTCAGGACCGGCGGGGGGAAGGAAGGGGGAGAAGCGCATGAAGTCTCCTCCCCGCTGCAAGGGGCTAGGCAGTTAGAGTCAACCTCCAGCTGCTGCTCAGCTGGCGGGTGACTAAGTGTGCGTTCCCTTGCAGGGCGGGGGCAGGCTTCATGTGTTTCCCCCGCCCCCAGGGCCTGATTGACCTAGGAGTGGGAGGAGCACACCAAATCTCTCAGGGGGCAAGGGTAAAGACTTCACGTGCTCCCCCACTCACAGATCAATCAGGGTCTGCCTGAGGCCCCGCCCCTTCTGCCTGAAGCCCCGCCCCTTCCAGGGTGGCTCGGGGCCACTTCAGAAATTTCTGAAGTGGCCCCGGATCAAAAATTATTGCCCACCCCAATCTAGGATTTACTTCGCCTAGTCTCAGCTCACGGGACTGGACCAAATGACCTCTTGAGGTTCCTTCCTGCCCGATGCTTTTATGGTTCTAAGGTGGCAAACATATAACATCTCATATCCTGCCTCAAGATCCTGCCGTTCCGCACCCCGCTGAACTACACAGGAGAATTAATGAAGGAGAAGTGATTGCTGAGTTAGAATCAGAGCTACAAAGACAATACTCCACCACCGGAGAAAAGGAAGGCAAAACTGAACCAAAGCCACTTTGGGTTTGATTAACTCCAGACTCCTTTACAGTTTTAAAGGTTTCTTTCGATAACCTTTAGCTTTTCCAGAACCAGACATATTTGCGATTTCTACTGCTCTCAATTGTTCATCGCCCATCTTAAAGAATTCTGTAGCACTGGCTGTATTTTTATGAGAAGGCCCATAAAAGTGCGTTATATAAATGGATATGTGAGACTTGAAATAAAAGGAGACATTAAAAAACAAAAACAAAAAAACAGAAGGTAAGAGTATCAAATATTAAATAATTTTAATATTTATAAAGTGATACTCACTTGAGATTGAAAGCAGCCAAATAGATGTGTGCAGCAGAGACAAATATGGTACAAATCAGTTACAATAGTCAAAAATCAGAACTAAACTAACAAAAATAAATAAGAGGGCCTAAAAGAGATTAACACATGCTCTCACTATCTGGAAGAGTGAAACGTCCAAATCTGAGACCCCTTTATTAGATGCCCAGAGCAACAAGGGTGAAAGATCAAATCTAAGTGTGGCTGCTTTTGAGAGAGGTGTTAGGGGTGAGTGTAGAAAAACTACTAGAGGAGAAGGGGGTTTGTGTGTAACAAAGGAGATGTGTGTGATTTTCATTTGCTCAGCTGTTTAGGTCACTTAAAATACATTTTATTTTTAAATTAACTCAAAGATGGTAAAAGCTGACACCTTGACAGCTCTGAAAATCTTTAAAAGTCCCAGAGGAGGAACCGTGTTGGTCTGTAACTTAAAAATAAGTAGTCCCGTAGCACCTTAGAGACTAACAGAAAGCTATATGTAGTATCATGAGCTTTCATGAGCACCGCCTACTGACTCATCTAAAGAAGTGGGTTGTGCCCACAAAAGCTCATGCTACGATCGATGTATTTTTGTTAGTCTCTAATGTGCTACAGGACTACTCGTTGATTTTCTGAAAATCTTTGTCTATCAACAGAAACCGCATGGACAACAAGAAAACTAGCTGCCTGCACACAGGTGTACATCCACACCGCCCACTTTTGTCACCAAAAACTGCCTTTTGGCGATAAAACAGCGCAGTGCGATTTTTGTCAGGAAAAATGCCCCGTCTTGGTGACAAAAAAAATCCACCCCTACGAGAGACTTTTTCTTTCCCCCTACCTTTACTGACAACAGTAACCAGACCTGCTAAATCGAATGCCAGAAGATCGATCTCCGACGTGGCAAGTGAAGACATGGCCTTAGAAGATAGGGGTCACATGGGTGATGGTGGAGGAAGAGGGGAAAGACCCAATTCATTCTCTCTCTGATTTTAAACCAATGCAATGCCATGCATGAAGTTAGAACTGAGTGATGTCTCCAGGATGGCACGGGGAAAGCTTGCACTGCCATTGCTGCCCTTTGGATGACTAATGGACTTCAGCTTCTGGGGTTGTTGCATTAGTCTACAGATGTCTTCTACTGGTGTGTGTGTAAGATGGCCCCAGTGCACTATTTTTTCATGCAGGTTGGAAGGGTTTAGCTGGCATTTGGGTATTGCTCAGCAGTGCTTGGGAAAAAGTGTTAGCAAATTTCTGCAGGACGTTTTGTGTACGTGCACCATTTAATCAAGCTGGAAAAGTTCACCAGCATTTGAGGAATATTTTTGTGGTGACTTTGCACATACAAAAGTCAGTTCTTTTTTCAAAAGGGCCCTTTTGCATTGCACCAGACAGAGACAGGGCACGACTATGTAAATTCAGACATGGTTTTGGATTCTCCCTCCCACCTCCTTTTCTCTTCAGATTTCTCTTTTCTATGTTTAATGCTTCACAAGGTCGCACCGTGCCCGGGCAGGGTAAGCTCTTT